CACGCTCGGATTTACAGCAGTCAGTTTGTTTGGAAACTGCGCCAAAGCCCTCATTCTGTTGTTGTTCGTAAGCGACAGCCAAGCACTTAAATACATGATTTTATGAATATGTGAATGAGGGCCAATCTAGCAAGTTCCTTGAGAGGTTTTAGGTCCAGCCAAAAACAGTCTACATGAGCGATACAGATTTCGATCAGGAAAAGCTTTTTGGAAAATACCACAGTGACTTATGCAAGTATCTTTTCATACCTAATCTGATCCAGTAATATCCCTTGCCGAACCACTTGACCACACTCGGAAAATTTTAACCGTGAGCAATTGCAATGCCTCCGAATTTCCTTCCGTTTGTCAATCGGCCAGCTTGGTCAGACATGCGTAGCGAATGGCTTAGAAGTGATCGATTTTGGCGCGGTCACATGGTTATGGTCCAGCCGTATCGGTGCATCGAAATCGCGATCGTAACCAATCAGCGACAGAGCCAAGTAGAGAAACGGTCGTTTGCAGAAGAGAACATTTTGGTCTGTTTTTTGACCATGTGATTTTTGTAAAATTTTCAATAACCTTTCGTCTGCGATCGACCAAGTATGGTTTTGTCGGCCGTTCCTTTGCAATACATCATGTGGCAGTTCTGAACAAGGAAGGTTTAACGAGGCGACAAATATCAATCGATCGGCGTTTACAAACAGACAATTAATTCTAATTTGCGTTGAGATGGTTGGTATTAAAATTGCACTATTACAGTACATCTTTTTGCGCACGCTTCCGACGATTTTGAGTCTACAACGAATGAAGTCAGGGCACCGGAAAATCACAATGGCAAACAATGTGCAATAATTTATCGAATGACAACGAGGCACTGTTCATGTACGAAAAAAAAATTTACTCTATAAACTCCAACGCGATGGATATTGCCTTGTAAAAAAATAACGAAAAAATAATTAAATAATTAATCATAAGTGGGAAGACATTCGGCGAAGCAGAGTGGACCATCAGCAGACGCCGAATTATTCGAACAGGCAGCTTTGGTGGTACCGGGTTGCAGAGCCGACGTGCAATGTTCCGGACCACGGAATTTCTGCTGGTGGAAGTTGGTGTATAGACGAAGACTGGTCTTGTAGACCGGACGTTTGAACAGTAACGCGAACGACTGTAGTTTTGGGGATGATCCGGACTCGCTAGCATGCTCAGTCTTAGAACTTCATTCGAAACGCAGTCTGCAACTCCATGTGCTGCTGAAAGAAGGAGTATATCACTTATCCTAGCCACTGGGCGCATAACAAGAACTCAGGAGGTAAACTCGCTCGCAGGAAAGCCAAGGCCTTCAGTGACGCTGGAGAGTCATTCAAAAACTGGAATACGGCTAGAAACATCTGATTCGCAGACTGAAGGACATTTTGACCTCTGATCTTCCCGTTTGGTCCAGAACACGTGATAAGACTACAACAGATTTATAGCTTTTGAAATGTTTTACTCAAAATTATAACCTTGCTGTCCACGATGACATTCCAAGTGGCGGCATGCAACAAAGTTAGATTTCTTATGTTCTCGGCAACCTACACCAGCCCATACATTTTTTGCGCATTTTACAGATGTTCCTTTCTAGATGAATAATCTTCGATGATTCCAATCGACCGTTGGTAATATTCCATTTCGCCTTCGTTTCTATAAAACGATATGAGGGTGTATTTTACGCAGCATGATGGACTGATAACCGATCAGTCATTCGTCAACGAAGTGTACAGCTGAGGGGATACAGTAGCTTCTTGGAAGAGACCTAGTTGAAGCCGATCGCATCCGCTTAAATAATGTCGTCATCAGGGGACACATGGCATGAAGCTTTATTATATCCTTTTCGACGGTTAATATGGGCAGTACTCATGGCTGTTACGTGTTCTCCGATTCTTTTTTCGAAACAAAGACCGTGACTAATGATAATGTATTTTATAGATTTCCTACTGGTCCTTAAAAAATGACGTTCATCAAATTCTACGAGCGTGAACTGGAGATTGGGCACAACGCTGTGGTCGTCCTTAGCAATTATCTGAGCCTAGTGCAAGCGTGTAGCGTGAAACACATGATAACTGGCGAACCAGCTCAGACAGTATAGATAGAATTTAAGAGAATCTTGTCAAAACCAAGTGTAAAATAGCTGCTTCTGCTGTTTATTAAAATCTGCAGAAAAAATTTTTTCTTCAATCATTTAAGGTTGAAATTACGGTTTACGGTTGTTGCTAGAGTTTTATTCCCCAGTGAGGAAGCGAGTCAAACGAGTCAACGAGAATCGCAACCGTAAAACAAATGCACCATACAGCATGTCCATAGGTGTCAGAAGTTCTGGCATGATTAAGTCAAAACACTCTGCTGCTATTACCATATCCATTGTTCACAGGTCAACGGTTGTTATTCGTTTCTAGGCCGATATTTCTATGCTGACAAAGCACATTGAGGAATAAATTCTCTCTGCTCAATTGAATTAACAAATCGCTAGAAAATTTTAACTCCGCCCCTCCATAATGCAAAAAAATTATCCATTGCCCGCTGCCCCCCCCCCATCG